TTGTGTTTCAGCGGCAGGCTATTTGCATAACCAATCGACAGCAAATACGTTTGCAAATCCCACCCCAAAGTACCGAAGTACCAAAGAAGTACCCCAACTGGTTTGGCACTTTCGGTACTCGAGATTTCGGTACTGGTACTTGACCGGAAGTCAATGGAAAAGCGAAAGTACCGAAAGTACCATACCGAAAGTACCGTACTTTGTGCGGTGGAAAAGCGCCCATAGTGCGCGGACAAGTCATGAGCCCTAGGTAGTGGTTAATGTTTGGGTGGAGATTCCAAAGGAAGAGAACCTTGAAGTTTGCATCTTCTTCCATGTCTACCTCATTTCTGGACATAATATATGCCCGACGAAGGCTACTGTAGTAGGCTTGGGGAGCTTCTTGTCTGCTGTGTTTGACATCCAAGGCGACAGCGGACGGACAATACAATGACCGGACTGGGGAAACAAACTGAAACGCGGACGAAATACAGAGGACTAATGACAACAACCAGAAACAGCTGATCACATGGGGATTCCACACGGGGTTAACGAGGGGGCGTGGCACACGGAAGGATCGGACAATCGGGGCAGGACACATTGTTTGGATACATTTATTTTCTTACTTTACAAAATAAAGAAACAATGACTGTTTTGATATATGTGCTTAGATGTGTTTAGTACAGTATATGCTCTTCTTGTTTTATCCGGTTCATTTTGTGTTTAAATGCTAAAAAAAAAAGAACATATTTAGGTGTAATTTTTTGGGGCCGGGAACCAATTAATTGGTTTTCCATTATTTCTTATGGGGAAAATTCGATCACAACTCGAACTTTTTAGGATTCGATCCGGAGTTCTGAACGGATTAAATTCGAGTTCTGAGGTACCACTGTATATACTATTTGATACCCCTTGTAGCATGAGGTTAGTTTGCATTGCTTTTGATATGAAAGCTTGGTATTATGATGATGGATTTAAATAACGAGTGCACTATATGTCGTCACAAATAGTGCTTAACCACGACTCCCAATTTCTAAATAACACACACCTGGAACACAGCGCAAAGCAGTGTTAAACTTGCTTTGTCTAAAGCAGGCACTCATATACGAGTAAGATCCTGATAGGTAGCTAAGCTATCAGACTTATCTCAGGGAGCCAAGTTTGCAATATCTTTCCCAATATCTTTGCAATGTGTCACTTTTGTCCATAAGTTCACATTTTTGTATTACGGGTGTGCAAATGTGTTTTGCACCATATTTACTGCAGCAAGTGTAACAAAACTGAGAGCATTTGAATTTCTTAATTTATGATGCGTTGAATAGGATTTGTACACCTGTAATGAAGAATTTGTGAAGGCGTAACCGTTGCGTTTGTGGAAATCCCGTGACTTCAAATTTACTGATACACATGTGTAACTCTTTTCTACAGCTACACATTGCACTGTTACAGATGCTCAGGTATTTTGCACCAATAATACCTCCATAATTCTATCCCAGGTAATACACGATACTGGTAAATATTGAATCCCATTTAATTCTCACATTAACAGACGCACGGGGATTCCACAATTGAGTTTGGAGGAACCAACCATTCGGCATAACAATTAGTTAATAATCATCATTAAATAATAATTAATTACAATTTAATTAATTTCTTTACACATTGGTGGAGACATTAAAATTTACCCAGCTCATTTTCCCTACAGATCGCTGGAAAGGAGTGTGTGGTGATATCTTTGTAAGAGGACGAAGGTCCATGTCTCCCTGTCTTGCTGTATGACTGTGAGACATGGACGCTATCCAGTGACCTGAGACAAAGACTGGACTCCTTCTGTACTGTATCTCTTTGGAGAATCCTTGGGTACCGCTGGTTTGACTATGTGTCGAATGAGCGGTTTCTAGAGGAGTCCCGAATGAGGCACATTACCTGCATTGTGAGGGAGTGTCAGTTACAGCACTATGGCCATGTGGCACATTTCCCTGATGCTGATCTGCATTGCTGAGGACCCAAGTGGCTGAACCAGGCCAAGGGGACGCCCACGTAACACCTGGCTGTAGCAGATGGATGGCCATTTCCGTAGGGTGGGACTGGACTGTGTATCTGCCTGGGGGATCGCCGGCTGGGATGCCAAGGAGTTTTGCTGTGTGGTGGGTCCGGCAACAGGCTGCATCAGCACATGCTCCTCAACCTGAACTGACCTGACCTGGTTCTGAAGAGACAGGATTTTATTTCTTTTCTGAAAGGGAAGCAGAGTGATACAAAAGGGATACTCACAAACAGCTTCAATGGAAAGGGGGTCCAAGTTCTAATACATACAGTGCAACAAGGTATTGCTAGATGGTCTCCACTCCATATACATTCCAGTTATTCGTGCTTTTCTTGGCTAGGTTCCATTCCTTTACCTTGTTTGTTCACTAACTTTGCTCTCAGCGGAGGCGGACGCACTTCTCTCCCTCTCCCTCCCCTTATCTTCCCTGCTTTGCTCCTCTCGTCTCGTCTAGTCTACTGTCTTACTGTCTATACTTGAGAGACTCTCTCAGCCCTGCTCTTCAAAACTAAGGAAATTATGGATTTGATCAACTGGTCTCTCAACGCAATTGACACCATCTTCTCGACGAGAAGCCCAGGTTCGGGGGAACCTGACTGTCCTGCAGGAACATACGCAGCTGGCTACACGATGGACGGATGGGAGAAGTGGAGGGTCGTGTGTCTGGCAGCTCTTTCCTTGGAGGACATGGAAGACATTTACCTATTCGGAACCATGATTACAGGTCTGATGCTGATTGGATTAGGCATTGCCCTGACTTATCGGAAATTGAAGAAAACGGTGACAGCCGCTCAAAGCCCAACTAGGCTGGCCGGGATGATTGACGGACTTGGCAGAGCTGTTGGCGCCCAGACTATGGCTATAGATCGCAAACTGGATAACATCACTGTGTCTAATGACCGCAGATAATAACATCACCGTGACTATGGACCGCAGATTTGATAACATCACGGAGAGGCTCACGGCTCTGCAAAGGATTTGGATGGCGGAGACCAGCATGGACATTAGAGGAGCTGCGAAATTACAGTTTCTCACCTGAAAACCCAAACAACCCCATTCTATCTGCTTTTGGCTCCCCCCTAATCAGCACAGGCCTTGGACAAGGCCTCTGCTGAGCTCAACAACTCCCCCTGAAGAACAAGGCAGTGAGACTCTCTTGCATTCCTCTCCCCCAACCACAAGGACACCCTACCCCCATCCCACGCCTTCGCCGCTTCATACCCCCAGCGTGAACGAGCGGGTCCTTGTACAGCGCCGTCTGGCTGCAGGACCGGACGGCTGTTTGTCTATGCTGGACTACCTCCACCTCCCCATTCCCCTCCCCTGTTGCAAGTCTCGACTTAGTGTTGTGAGCTGTGGTGACTATGTGCTTATTGCTGAGGTGTTTTGTTCTGTTCCTATATTGTACTACCTACTGGAGTACAGTCTGGGGGCTGTTTTTTTTTTATTCACCTCCACTCTCCTCACATAATCTGTTTCTCTGAGTTTTCCTATAGTCCCCTGTCTTCCTGACCTGTCTACCCCCTACGTGTGTTGTATATGTATGGTCAGGTTGATGGCCAGTTTTTTCGCTGGTACTTGTGACTAGTGACATGGTGTATTGCAACAGCAATAAAGGGTTTTCATCAATCAATCAATCAATACAGGAACATTGGTGATTTGAACCATTTCTATAGATATTCCTTATTTATAAACACAGCTTGCCAAGTCTTGTAAGGTTAATCCTTGGTGGTCAGTTCCAAAAACTTCTTCTACAGTACCCAAGAAGCAAGGTGGTTTGGAAGAAGGCCCTTCATCAGTTGAGCTCCTGGCCTTAGCAACAGAAACAGCAAGCCGATTGCTGTCGTCTCTAGTCCCAGTCTTATGGCCTGGTCAGCGTGTGTGGTTGTCCACAATAAATCTATATGCTGATTAATAATCACATATTCTAGGTGTGTGTCACGGTGCACAGACCAGGAAAGCAGGGAAAGGACTCGAGGAATCAGGGAACACGGGGTTTAATTTGGAGTGAAGACAAGCAGGGACAGGCAGAAAACATGCAATGACATTAATGACTGGACTCGGGAAACATGCTCTAATGCAGACTTAAAAACATTAGATTAATTAACAACAACAAGAAACAGCTGGTAACATGGGGATTCCACACAAGGTAGATGAGGGGGAGGATCCGACGAGCAGGGCATGACAGTATGAATGAATATAAGGTCTGTGCCTCTTTTGCAACATTGTAATTTCAATAATACCCCTAACATTTTAGGTTTGGCCTTTTTATGTTCATATTTAATTTTAATTAGTATTAGAACAAGTCTTGCTTGGTACCAGTACTGCAAATTAACACTGGTAGACTGTTAATTTACTTGTCTTCTAGCTTTTGTGGCCCATTTATTCATTCAGATTGATAGTTTCATCTCAATGAAAAAAACCCACCTCATTACACCCAGATTAAAATTTTGTATCATGATTCAAGATATTAGAGAGACTAGTCTTATGGCAACTAGTTGGTAAACAAGGAAAGACAAGATAATTCTTAATAAATTGTATTTATTTACTTTAATGTCAAAAAGATTTATAAATAGGCTTACTGTGTTTCTGATCATTCTAATGTGAATACATGTTACTAAAAATTAGATTGCTGTTTACACTGATTGCTGTTTACATGTTTTGAATGGTGGCCGTAACAGGATACTGACCCTTACAAGGGAGCTCAGTTCTTGTACGAGTTTGTATCACCGTGATATGGGCATATGCTTTCGAGTACTGGGGAAAAGGCACCAAAGTCACTGTCGGTAAGTCCTCTCCGTCTCACCCCACTTTACTTTTTAAATATTTTTCTTTATTTACTTAGTATAAATAAAGTTTCACTTGTTTGATTAGTTTTCCTCTGTTTACTTTGCTAGATATAACCCCCCACAAACTGTCGTTGTAGCTCTTTTAGTGTCTGTGGTCTATTGTGTATAAAACCTCGTCAAACTTGCTCGATAGCGAATTGGTACAGTATGGCATTTTAAACTAAAGTGGTTTAAAATTAATCGGAAAACTGCATGTGTCCGTAACCGGTCGAGCTCCTGCTTCGACACTTCAGTCATACTTTTGAGATGTATTTTTAGTAGTGCAAACGCGAAATTATTTTAGCGTAAACCGCTGAGAAATTATTAATAGAATATTGTACTTTAGTCACTGCATTAAATGAAAAACGGGCACTGTATTATAAAGTACTGTAAACCAAGGATGAAATTGTACCTTGTAATTTCATTCGAAATTATGTTTAAATTAGGGTAAACCGAGTTCAATTGCCACACATTTTAGATTTTACATAAATTATTACACCTCTCACCCTCATTGTGATCTGTCTTGTGTGCTGTTGTGTGTTATGCTGCACATATGGTCATGGAGAACGCGAAAACATCATACAAAAACATCAGATTTTTAACTTAATTGTTTCTTCCGTCCGTTTTTAAAATCAAGGTGAATATTTTTGAGTACCGATTTATTTTTTCTACAATAACTGTTTAAAGACCCGGTACTTTAGTTAGCCTAAATCTGTCCTCATGCTTGAGACAGTTTACTAAAACTGTATACGTACAACTGGATAGTTGTAACGTCCATAGGTTATAATGTAGGCTAAACAAACCCGTAATGCAGTGAAGTGAATTCTTTTTGACAATATTTAGCAACTTTAATTTAGTTGACTAATTCTTCTTTGAAAATGAAACACAAGTATTTGATTTCAATATTCTTTAGTTATACGTATTTGTCTAGACTTAACAAAACGCCTTGCTATTTTAAAATACAAAAATAAATAAAACTATAAGATAAGATCAAACGATTTTCACGACATTGCATGTTTAATAGAAATCCTGTTTGCATTGTCCTGGGCTTATGAGAGGTACCTGTACGTAATTTCGCGGGATAATTATCATTATGACACACGTTTAACGACACTATCGAGTAAGATCAAAGATATATTCCTAAGGAAAGCAGTGTAAAAAAGCTAGACTCAGTTTTTGCAGATATCTTTGGAGTTGTGGATCTAGTTCAATATCCCCACATTTAGAAAGCCTGTTACCGCTCCTGCACAGATGTAATAACGCAAAGGAGATATTTAACGTGTTATAACTGTCCCAGGGTTAGAACTGAACTGCCTTAATTTATGCGGAAAATCACTTGAATGTAATTTGTTCTGGAGGACTTAAGTCACCCAAAATGTGTGATTCCAATAGGAACCTGTGCTAACATTATATACCGATAGGTTTCTTCCAGCTATTAATGTGTCATTCAAAATAAATAGGCCTAATATTCAGAAGCAGGGGAGCTGCTGGAGCAGGGGTCTCCAACTCCAGTCCTGGAGAGCTACTATCCAGTAGGTTTTCTGTCCCACTTGGCTTCTGATGAACCACACCTGGCCCTGGTATTTACCTGAGAACAGGTGTGGCTCAGCAGAAGCCGGGTATGATAGAAAACCTACTGGACAGTAGCTCTCCAGGACCGGAGTTGGAGACCCCTGCGCTAGATATTTTGGGCCCCATGAAAGCGTATTATATTGGGCCCCCAGCCCAGATCGATCAGATTATGTTCTAAATGTCTTAGGGCCGCAGTCACTCAAGGGCTCTTGGAATCACCCTAACTGTCCCCTGCTTTACAGCACCGCTGCTCAGAAGGATTTGTGCCCTTGTATAATGTTCTCATGTTCTTTGTGCTTGTAAGTTAGTTAGATTTTTGTCCTGTATGAACATTTAGTGCAGTGAGGATTAAAGTATTTTGAACTCCGAAACTGTTGTATAGCAGGGAGATTGAAAATAGCAATTATATCCCTGTAAAAAGATCCCTGGTTTGTGCGTTATTGCTGTTGACTAGAACATATGTATGTTTTTCTTATTAGCTGTTTTCATAGAACTAGAATTTATACTTTGTTAGCATTCAAAAATCGTTTCCAAGCAGTAGATGAAAAGTATCCCAGTTAATTAAAGGTCATTGTGGATTTCAATATAAAAAATGTTAAGGGAGATTTAAAACATTGGGAACTGTTTCTGTTGGAACCCATACATGAATAATATTAATATGAGTAATATGCTGTGTTTGTGATACTGAAAAATAAGAAATGTAACTTTAACAATCTTCCATATGTATTATGTCAAATGTATCATAAATTTCAATTTCCTCTGTTATCCTGGTAATACTGCACTCTCAAAGTTTCATCAAAAACATAACTTGAGATTTGGAGAAAATAGTTATTATGCTTCAGTTGCACATTTTTCGTATTTTTATCCTCGGCATAATATAAATTATATATAATTAAATATAAACAGGATGTTTTGCAAGAGGGTGAACACAGCAGGATATAATATTTAGCTTTAGGTAGCTACTGCAGGGACATTGAAATAAATTTATACAGAGAATCATGTAACAAACATAAGATACATTTACACGAGACAGAATCTCTGTATACCAGCAGTAGAGTTTACTAGCTCACAAAAGCTAAGTTACACAATCAGTGTAACTGTCATCTGTATATTGGGCAATGAAATGTCTTTCAGTGAAACATATTTTTTATTACAGCTGTAATATTTAAAAAATAACCATGATATAAAACATACTTTTTTCCTTAATGTATGTTTCCAGTAGGGACTAACTGCATGATATTGGAAAAATAAAAAATATTTTTGAATAAAGTATAGCCAAATAGAACGTGTTATTATCTACCAATAGAGTCTGTCAGATAAGTTAGTGATGTTGATGCAAGTTGTACCAACACAAAACAGTGCCCACAAATCACTTGCTCAATATTGCCTCTATTTCCATACAGTGGAAGGCAAATGTCTTTCGGTCATCAGTTCTCGTTCGCCCTTCTCATCCTCATGTATTTTCTTAAATTTGTCACAAATGGTCCACACTTTCCCTGATTTTTTAACATATAGTAGAAAATCTTGAAAAGGAACAACCATTAAAATATCAAAGCTTGCTAAAATTGGCAAAATAAAAATGTTTTAACAAAACTTTCAAATGTACTGTTATCTTGGATGGTATGATGGTATGAAAAAAAATAATCATCATCCAAGCCAGTATTCGATATTAACATCCCACATCCTGCAGGCTCAGTTCCCAGTAACAGCTAACAATGTCTAATGACTGGTACATTTCTTTTCTTAGGTGCTAAGCTGCCATCTTACATTTACCCCCTTCACCAATGTGGGTCTGCAGACTCTCGTGGTGACATCAGCCTCGGATGCATTGCCAGCGGTTTTTCACCCCTGGATGCCTTGAGCTTTAAGTGGAGTGACGGTAACGGTAACGTGCTGCCTGACTTCCATCAATACTCACCGGTCATGGTCAGTGGAAGCACCATGATGGTCAGTCACATCACTGTCAAAGCGGCAGACTGGAACAGTCAGAAATCTTACAGATGTGCTGCACATCACCAGAACCTTGGACTTGAGAAGTCAGAGACATTACAAAAGCCAGGTATTGTGATTTTGTATAAATTAAATTAATTCTTCTGCAGCACTTTGGGGATTAAGAAATCAAGAATTTATCATTGTGAACCTCAGGAAGCACAGAGCACATGGCAGGGGCACCTAGGATGGGATGTATGTCAACACATTTACACATTTTCTCACACACTGAGGGCAAATTACAGACACTGTACCCCTTAAACTCACATTTTATCACTGTGGGAACCCCCCCACACACAGAGCCGTAAGCAGGAATTATGAAGTCTCTTCAGAATGTCGCTTTCATGATTTAAATGTTCTGAGTGACGCATCTGCGGGTAGTGAATGAGGGTTAGTCTGGCGGAATTTCTAAAACTAAAAAACTGTATCTTACCAGTGATTAGAGCCTGAAATTGGCCTCCCTGGGTCCTGTTAGTACTGAGTAGAAAACTGCATTGGGCCCCTATTCCTACTGCTCCTGTGTGTTCCTCCTCTCCCAGACCTGTCCTGCCGGCCCTGTTTGGATGTGACCCTGAAGCCCCCAAGAGTAAAAGAGATGTTCATAGATAACAGGGCTGTGCTGGAATGCATCATCTCAGGAGAGGATGAGGCAGTAAAAGAAGCTGAAGTGACCTGGATGTTGGACAGTGTACAGGTCACAGATAAGATTACACAGACCGGCACAGAAAAGGCAGATCATCTCTTCAGAAAGAGCAGCATCCTGACTCTGGCAGTGAAGGACTGGGAAGGTGGCAAAACAGTGACATGCAGTGTGCAGCTGAAGGGTGGTCCTACTATCACTAAGACCCTCAATTTTGGGCAAAAAGGTATATTTCTAAGTTTACTGTCAGAGTTAATATCATAAGTCATGAGTAGATATATTTTTATTCAAGGTGATATTCAGACATGTAAAAACAATTCACCTATATGTTTTTAACAACTGATTTCAGGTACGACGACACCTACAGTCTCCATCCAAACACCATCTCCTGAAGACCTTAATGGAAAAAGTGAATTCTTCCTGCTCTGCCTGGTAACAGGCTTCTATCCTGAGGAAATATACATCATGTGGCAAGTAGATGGGGGCCAGTATGAGGAGGGTATTACTGGAGAGCCACTGAAGACTGGGGATAAATACTCTGTCACCAGTCTGTTTATGGTCTCAAAAGAGAACTGGGACAAAGGCACCAAGTACAACTGCAACGCCAGACACGTGTCTCAAAAGGGAGCTGAGATACCTGCATTGAAATCTATGTCAAAATCAAAGGGTAATTCACTGGAATGTCCTGTATGAATAATAATCGATTATTTGTAGATGCCACTGAGTTTCCTTACACTGCATAGTCACTGTTATCTCATGTGGACACAGGAAGGTCAGTGTAGTTTCACGTTAGACATTCTAATGCTGGTTATAAACTTCAGCTTTTACAGGAAGTCCGCACTTATAGTTTTCTTTCACACAGCATGATAAACCCCTGCTTTGCTCACCTTCTGTATTTTGCGTTTGGTCTTTTTCCCATGTTGTCCTTTTTTGTTGTACTATGTGAAAAATCATTGTTTCCTGTTTATAATCTAGGTTTATAAAGCATGATTGGTGAAGTGTTATTAGTATTCAACATGATCACTGTAAAGCAGACTAATCATGGATGTAATCTGATTTCAATTTTTTCTTAACTTTTTGCTTATATTCTGAAATGTATTAATCCATACATTATATATCTCTGGAGTTTTAAAATTCTATATATTTTTTGAAATTTGGAAAATAATATTTTTTGATGAACATCCTTAACAACTGATTATTTAGACAAAAGTGAGCAGATTTTGTCTGATCTCTGTTAACATTGTTTATGGTTTCCTGTGATGTCATTCTGTCATATCTCAGTGACATGTTCCTCCTCCTGATGTTCACTGTGTCTGTCTCTGTCCATAATGATGTCATCATTCGTCTGCTGCCAGTGTTATGGCTTATTGTCTCACTGCTTGGAGATGAAAATCTCAGATGGCCTGAAGGTCCTCTTAAACCACCTCCTGTTACTGGAATACTGTGAATCTCCTGTGTGGCATTTATAGAAATATTAATAAAAGTAACTGCATATGAGATTAGAGTCAGCCATTAATTCCATTAAACAGTGCTCTGTTTATTTTTTAATGAGGAAAAATGCACTTAGACACAGCACAAGGCCACCCAGTAATGTGTCACTGTAATTATTTATGCTTTTCAGGTTTACATGGCAGAGATCATTCTAGCGCTACTATCAACCTAATTGTAATATTTAGGGAGCATTTTAATGCTCCCATGTCAGTAATTTGTACCGTACATGGTTCACTCAAACCACACATGTACCAAGGAAACAATAGTATATATGAATTATACCATTGTCTCTCATATCAGTATTTAAGTGCTACATGCCAGCACAGTACAGCTGTCAGGTGACGAGAAACGTGACTAAGGATACAGCAGGCCGAAGGTCACTGATAGATATAGGGAGTTTGTTTAGGTCTTACTCTGTGACTCTGTGTAAGTTGTGCTGTGTGTGCATCTACATGAGAAGTGAGCAGTGATTCTGTGAGGCTGGGCAGAGTGTGTGTGTGTGTGTGTGTGTGTGTATATATGGGTGAGCTAGTATAACTTACCTTATGGGGACACAATGTCCCCACAACGTGATGAATATCCGTTTTTATATTTTATATTTTACAAAAATCCGTGACAGCAATGAAAAAACTAAAAATGCAGAAACTCTTGTATATTTTGTTTGGTTACTGTAAATGGCCCAATTTCTATTTTTTGTTGTACAAGGGAATATTGTATTATTTAATATGCCTAAGGTATTATTTTTATATAATTTTGTGAATTTATATTGCCTAGGTTTTACTTTGTTTTGTGGGACTTTTATTTTGAAATCACGTGCTTAGCCCTTGTAAGCGCTCACGTAAAGGAAAATAAGGGGAGGACATACTGATTTGCGCCCTCCGAAGCGGCACAAGCCCTTACGTTGGTACATTAGTGTATTGTTTAATTAATGCAAGGTTCGCAATAAAAAGGTAAAACCATCAGTTAAGGCTGGACCATTTCTCGGAGGAGACGCTACAGTTACCTATGGTAATGGTTAGGGCTGGGTAGGGTTTAAGGTTGTCATAATTAGCGTTATCACTTTTTCCATAGAAATGACCGAGCGTCCTCATGAGGATATGTTTACCCAATGTGTGTGTGCGTGTGTGTGTGTGTGTGTGTCTGTAAGGGTCAGACTGTGATATACTGTGTGGACAGTGAGAGGCTCTACCTGCTGTGTGACTCTGCTGTTTCTCCTCAGTCTCCCCCCCAGAAAAAGAATCACACACACAACCTGCATTCAGCTGTAATGAGGGAGGTGAGGAAGAGGATGAGTTCAGCAGCCTGTGGTCCACAGCCTTCTCCTTCATCATCCTCTTCCTCTTCAGCCTGGTCTACAGTGCTTTTCTCAGCCTCATCAAGGTAAATCTACATTTAGTGTGTTTCAGATGTCAAAACGATTTAACATAGAATCTGATCCAATTAACAGAAAAGTTAAAAATACATCTGAGAAATTGTGCTAGAGATTAATACAATATACAGTCCATATTTCCTCATGTATTTCATGAGTCTGACTATCTTCTAAGGAAAAACCACTTTACCAGTTAGAGTTTCAGAGATCATGGAGTCTCGGGGATAGGGACGGATCTAGGTCTAACCTCACACCCCCTTGTGGATTTGCAGTGCTGACTCCCCATGCCTGCGTTCCCACCTACCTCTCCCTCCTACTTATGCTGCCACAGCCTTATCTGTCGGAGCTTACATATCACACTCACCTAACTTGCTTGCACTGTCTCTAGTCTCCTCTACTTTGGCTAATTGCACATTTTATATCCCACACTCCTCCTGGGCTGTGCTGCCTGGAGATCCCAAATTATCGAGATATCCTGCCTACCCTGCTGCCTGTGACGTCTCTCCAACCTGCTCGCCCTTCTGCCTGTGACGTCTCTCCGACCTGCTCGCCCTTCTGCCTGTGACGTCTCTCCGACCTGCTCGCCCTTCTGCCCGTGACGTCTCTCCTGCCTGTGACGTCTCTCCGACCTGCTCGCCCTTCTGCCTGTGACGTCTCTCCTGCCTGTGACGTCTCTCCG